GCTAGCTGCCCAGCTGTGGCTATGGACTCACATGGCTGCCACAGTGACAAAAGCCAGGACCTGAGTGCAGGTTGGGATGGACCTAGCTCAAATGCCCATGCCATAGCACCCTGTTGGCCCTTCCTTGCCCTCTTCTCTCTGTACTTGAGGAGTCGCCTCCCTTCCTGCTGGCCTCAGGAGCTGTCCCCACCAAGAAGAACCCAGGTTTTGAGATGCAGACGGTTTCAAGGTAGAAACAAAGCTACAAGGCCAAAGGAGACCAACCTGCTCCACTCCCCGACAGCCACCAGGGTGTGACCCAGCAGGAACTATGACACCCATCCCCTGTCCGGGCTCTGCTGTCTCTGAGAAAGAGCCAGAAAATCTCACCTAAGGAAAAAGCAGGACCCATGGCCTGTACTCCCTAAATTCCCGAACCCCATTAGCAGTGCTAAGGTTTCCCCTAGGGACAACACAAAAGCCACACAGCCACAGCCTCAGCTCTGTGACCTGCACTGTTCTCTATATCCCCATGCCTTTGATACCCCAAGGCCACTCCAGGAGATCTGGGCCCTGGCTGCAGCAGCCCTGAAACTTGGACTGATCTCTGTGGCCACTCTGGATAGCTCCACCCTGTGCCCTCCAGAAGCCCCACACCTTTTGAAAGTCCTCCAGGGGCTCTGCTCCCTTCCGGCCAGACATTTCACCCTGCTGACGATTTCTATCTCCAGCACAGAGGCTGAGCAGCACCAAAGGGCCCAGCAGTCATATGGTTGGCAGCCCTGATATGCATAGAGACCAAAGAAACTGTGGCAATGGAGACTGCAGTCCGAGGCCAGGGCAAGGGTGAGGCTGAGATCAGCAGGGGTTCCAGGTAAGGAGACAAAAGAGGCAAGAGACAGCAGAGTCCCCAAGGGAGCCTTTGAGCCTTAGCTTTATGGAGCTGCATGGGAAGGCCAAAAGCTAAAACTCTGCACCATGTAGCAACACCAGGAGTTGAGAGGCACTGGTACACATGCAGATGCGTGGGCTTGAGTGCCTGCTGTGTGTGTCCACCCACATATTCTCAGTAGTGTGCCCATGTGCACACATGTACCAGCTGTGAAGGGCCCAGGACATCACCAAGGACTGGCATGGTGGCCACAGTGGGTGTGGTGCTGTGCACACTCTAGAGGGCAGAGTGGGAACCTGGCTCACCTTCAAGGCTGAGGAGGGAGAGAGGAAAAGAAAAAGGAAAGAAGGGCCTAAGTCCAATCCCCAGGTCACACACACACACACACACACACACACACACAAAGGAGGGGAGGAAGAAGAGAGCAGCAGAGAGGGAGGGGGAGGGGAAAAGGCAGGGAAGAGGGGAGGAGAATGGGAGAGGGAGGAGGGAGGGGAGAGAAGGTGCAATGGGAAGGGAAAGGGGAACATGGACAGGGGGAGGGGAGGAGGGGGAGGGCAAAGGGGGAAGAGAGGGCTCTAACACACAATGTCTCCCCTTGGCCTCCCAAGGGGCTGGGATTATAGTGCAATACTGCAGCCAGTTTGATCTGTTTTCTGAGAAGCTCATGGAGCTGAGACATTGGGCATCGGAGTGGACACATGTGGGGGTCCTGGCCACAGGTTCCTGCCCTGACCACCCAGGAGAGAAGGCATGGATGCTGTGGACAGGGCCATCCTGCAAAGGCTGGAGGCCAGTAGCAGTGGTGGCCATGCAGTAAGTGGTGATAGAGGGGGGCTGAAGGCTAAGCTGGCACCCATGGCATCTTCATACAAGTGCCACATCCTCGGCTTTGCTTGGCAAGAGAATGTTCTGAGCCAGCTGTGGGAGTGCATGCCCATAAGCCCAGCACTTTCAAGGCTGAGGCAGGATAATCACTGTGAATTCAGGGCCAGCGTGCACTACTTATTAAGATCAAGGAGGGCCTGAACTACATAGCAAGACTCTGTCTCAAAAACAAACAAAGCAAAACAAAAAGAATGGTCTTTGTCCTGAAAGCTTGAAAGCCAATAGAGATGTGGGAATCGCAGTGTCAGGGTTGGAAGCATGGAATTCTGCAAGGGGCGGGGGTGCTGCTCCAGGGGAGAGCAGCTGGGATCCTCACCCAGGTCCATGCCCAGATGCACCAAAGGACTCTTACTGTGGTGGACCGACAACTGGTGACCAACTTGTAACACTCAGCGGAACTGAACCAGTATGGTGCTAGGCGTGGAAGGCCACCCGAAGCTTGTTGCTGGTGGCATAAGAGGCAGAAGCAGTGACGCTGTGGAGAGGCTGCCAGGAAAGCCGGTAAGAGAGGCTGGAGGAGCTGTTGGTTTCTTGGAGGAGCCTGTTGTGCTGGCTTGCCCGATGAATGCCGCTGTTCTCATTGCTGAAGGAACTTGGGACCTTGTTGCTGCTGAGAATGGCTACGGTTCACTTTGGGGAAGCCCTGGTCCTGACTTTGAGCATTGCTTCCTGGCTCTGGAGGAGAGATGGCGCACAGCCCGGTCCCCTGCAGAAGACTGTCGTGTTGGCTTTCCTGGTGGGAGCACAGCTTTCTTCATCCTCGAGGAGCTCAGGCCCTCAGTGTTGCTGCGGGTGGCTGTGGTATCTTTGTGGAGAGCTCTGGTTCTTATCTTGAGTGTCGCTTCCTGGCTACAGTTCAAATCCCTCAGCCTGTTGGCACAGATCCATTATCCCACTGGCACAGATTTTCTAACTTCCACCACTGACCTTTAGGCCTTCCCAGCGGAGACATGCCTGAATGAGACATTGTTACGGGCTCTGGGTCTTCGGCCAGACTCATGCAAGGCATTACTGAGGGATCCAGGCCCTCAGCTGGGGTCTTTGGTCTCTAGTGTATGAACAGATTTCCTGTACTTTCTTTGCATATGATTCTTCGGGTGACTACTATAAATAATTTGACAAAGTATGTGTCCTCCTGGTTAGGCAGATGTAGCAACAGGGGTTCAATTGGACCTGCCCCCAGGGCCCGCTGAGATGGCCATTGAGACTGGGCTTTATTGAGACTGTTCGTGGTGGGCACATCTGTAATCCCAGCTTTTTGGGAGGCTGAACACAGGTGGATCACTATGAGTCCGATCTACATAGTGAGACTCTGAGACCCTGTAGACTTACTAAAACAAAAAAAAGTGTCCTGTATTGTTTGTTCCCCTTGCAAAATCCCAAACTCAACACTCACCCTGCACCGCAGCACACCTGGGGACTGGGGGCAGTGTGGCCACCTACAGTTGTAAAGGTTCTTACTGCACAAGGGAGTGCTGCCCAGGGGAAGGTGGCCACAGACCCAGGGACACCCAAACCTCTGTGAGCTCAATGGTGCTCCCAGGAGAGGGACCCACCCTGCGTGCCTATAGTCCAGACTTCTGCAGAAGGGACGAGACAATGTGTCATGGATGAATCTAGGCACAGGGAGCACTCATGCAGCATTCCAGACCAGCGCAGAGTGTGTGAATCAAGTCAGGGAGCCAAACCCTGGGAGGCCACTGTGCTGCCCTACTGGGGTCAGGCTTCATCTGACCTCTGACCTTGAGCAAACAGCCCTCCTCCTTCCTTGAGACATCCCTCTGGCACCTCTGGAAGCACCAGCACTGCAACAGGGCCCTCCTCTCATGACCCCCGGCTTCTCAACCTTCCCAGGGTCGGGAGCAACCCAGAAAGGGAGCCCCTGTCTTCTCAGCTTGCCGCCAAGGAGGGGTCAGCTTTCTTCCTCCTGAGCTACAGGTGTTTCCAGAGCGACCAAGAAGGGAAGAAGGGGAGGGGACTGAGCACCACCTTGGGGAGCCTGGAGTGACAGAAGTGCACGCCGGTGGGCTGAGCCGGCCGGCCGCGCCTCAGCTCCAAGGGCGCTGAGTCTCACTTCGCAGCACATCACCCTTGGGTGTCTTACCTGGCTGCGCGCTCTAGGTATGGAAGGGCGGCTGAACACGGGGACAGGGTGCATTTGGTGACAGGAGCCGGGCCAGCCACCGACCTTGGGGTCCCTCGCACCCCACGCACGTGTACTGGCTCCCCGCCCTGCAAATACCCTCGAGGCTCCCGGGAAAGACAATGAAGTCCACCATGAGTCTGGCCGCGGCCCTCGCCACAGCCCACTGTGTGGGGACGCAGGGTCCACCTTGGGGCGCGGTGGGGGCTGGGACCCGGGCGGCCGCACTTCGGCGCACCGAGGAGCGGCGGGATGGGGGCAGGGAGCCTCGCCTCGCCTCGCCCTCGTGAACGGCGGAAGAGGCCAGAGGGGGCGGGGCCTTGGGGGCGGGGCTATCCCGAGGGCGGCCCTGGGGGCGGGACCTGAAGTACAGACCGGCCTGGTGGGGCGCGCAGGCTTGCAGGGTGGGCTGAATCGAGGGGGCGGGACTCCACGGGCGCGGGAGGAGCGGCGTTGAGCCGCTGCGAGGCGCGGCTCGGCAGCGCGCAGCCCATAGGGGGCGGGGCCTAGGGGAGGGGCGGGGCTTGTGTCTCAGCCCGGCCGGTGCGGGGCGGCGGCGAGGGCCGAGAGGGGGCGGGGCGCACGAATTCGGGGCGTGGCCTATGTGGGCGTGGCCGGGCGTGGCGGGTTTTCGCGGCAGCGCCCACTTCCTCTGGCGCTCCGGCTAGGCGGAAGTGCGTCAGTTGTTATCCGCTCGGGCCCGGCGCTGTCCCGCCGCCTCAGAAGCTCGGCGCTCCGAGCTCGGCCGCCCGCTGCTGCCGACGCCCGCCGCCTCCGTTCGTCATGAGGTGCGCCTCCGGGGGCCCGGCCGTGAACCGCTGAGCGCCAGCGGCCCTGCCGGTGCGCCGGGCCCGGCC